GGTTTCTATTCTCACTCTCAGACTCCCAGGAATCGGCGAACTCAACAGCACCATTCTCTCAATCCTTAAAGGGCACCGGCGCTCAGACTCCCAAGTCGGGCTTCGGGCTCGGGCCCGGGCTTCGGGCTTTTTATGAGGGCCGGGCTCGGGCCCAAGTTTTAGGCCCGTTGGTCGGGCCGGGCTCGGGCTCGGGCCTAAAAAGTTTATGTTAATAAAGAGCAAAAGCCCGGCCCGAGCCCGGCCCGGCCAGGCCCATGAACAGATCACACATTGTTCCATAAAAGAAATGGAGGAAGCCTAACAACCCTAATTGTATATGTTGATGACATGGTTGTCATTGCTAATGATCCAATGGAGATTTAGAGGTTGAAATCCTTCTTAGATATAGAGTTTGAGATTAAAGACTTGGGACCTCTAGACATTTATTGATAATAGAGGTAGCTAGATCTAGTGAAGGATCCATATCTATCAAAGGAAATATGAATTGGATCTTTTGAAGGAGATAGAAAAGTTAGGGACCAAACCTGCTGATACTCTTATAGAAAAAAAGAAAGAAAAAATTATGGGCTGCAACAAGATGATGAAGAACTTTACCTTGATAAAGAAAGATACCAGAGACTTGTTGGTAAACTACCTTACTTATCTCTCACCTAACTTGACATTAGCATATTCAATTCATGTGGTCAGCCAATTTATGCATGCACCTCAAGTTTCACACATGAAAGCAGTAGAAAGGATTTTGGGATACCTCACACATGCCCAGGAAAAGGATTATTATTCACGAAACATGATAGAATTGAAGTGGGAGGCTTATACTGAAGTTGATTGGGGCCACTAGGAGGTCTACATCTGGATATTGTACCTTTGTAGGTGGTAATCTTGTTACATGGAGAAGTAAGAAACAAAATGTGGTAGCTAGCTCAAGTTATGAGGCTGAATACAAAGCCATGGCACATGGGGTTGCTGAGTTATTATGGCTTTGAATTCTTCTAAATGAGTTGGGGATAAATGTGAATGGACCTCTAAAGCTCAATTGTGACAACCAAGCAGCAATCAACATTGCTAATAATCCAATCTAACATGATAGAACTAAACATATTGAAATTGATAGACACTTTGTGAGAGAAAGAACTGCTTCCAAAGACCTTTGTATTCCTTACATGCCTACCAAAAGATAGCTAGCTGATGTGTTCACCAAAGGCCTTACCAAATCAAGATTCGTGGAGCTTCTATGCAAGCCAAGCATGATAGATATCTATGCTCAGCTTGAGAGGGAGTGTTATGAGACATAAAAAAGTGAGATTGGGCCTTAGTTCTCGGTTATTTTTTTTCCTTTTGCCAAGTGTATGGGCCTGGGCTTATTATGTATTTGTTATTTTTCTTACTGCCACCTAAGCAGGGGCAGTTTTGTCACCTTATGTAATGCTTAAACTCTCTTATAAATAACATTCCTGGGCTGGAAATAAGCAATTGCCACCCGTTCTTCTTCTTCTCCTTCTCTTTCCTAAACTAGGGCTGAATACCTTCAAAAATTACCTTTGTGGAAGGATCCCGCATTATCTACATTCTTTTTTTCAGTCTCAAGTTTTGACTTAGCTAGGGAGTTACTAGTATATCATGAGAAAAATAGGTATTAGACTGGGGATATCTTAGTAATATGCTAATATATGCAATCAAACCATTCAAACCATCACCCAGCAACAAAGAAAGGTCCTTATAAAACGAAATTAGGGTCAAAGAAAATTGGTTTCATTGAACACAGAAATGTTCATATCAGATCTTGCCATTCATAAACAACCAATGCAGAAGATGTGGAAGCGTCCCCCCCCCTCCAAGTTTTAGTCCAACTAAACTGTGATACTTGTTCTTTAGGGTATCCAGGTCCCTTGGGAGTCAGTGGAGCTTATAGAAACAGTAGTGTGTAAACAGTAGTAATGGTGGGTTTTGCGCCTATGCGCCTACATTAGAGGTGAAACCTTGCATGGGGTAATGGCAGGCTATGCGCCTATGCCTCAAGGTGGAAAAGGATCAAAATAGAAGGTAACTTTCATGCTGTCATTGCCTTGATGCTAAACCCATCAGATGGACCATGACATCTACACATTTCATTAGAGGCGTTAGGTCTATGGCTCTCAGAAAGAACAGTTCATTCTCATGGATGCCAAGATGTGCCACCTCTCATGCAGATCATTGAGCAAGGGAAGGGGTATCATCTTTCTACTGGTCCGGATTCCTTCAGGCTGATAAGGACATTTCTTCTCTGTTTCTGGATCTAGGGGTAGTGATGCACTGATTCGGTATTTCCCTATACCAACTTCATTGGTTTAAAGAAGTTTGCACCTTTCACTTTAGTACTTTTTCTACTCTACTCATTCCCATAAGTCCTATATGATCTGCTGCTTAAAAAAAATACCATACTTTAATCATTCATTGGCATATTTTGTGTTACCAAGAATAATCCATTTAGACATTTTTGGCCAGTGCCAATAACAAATTCAGGACGAAGCAGCAAAACGTCATGAAATATGCATTTTGATAAACACCATGTCAAAATGAAAAACATACCAATCAACTATTGGTGAACTTATGTCAAATCAGATAACAGGTAAGTATAAGCAATTGAGTTTTACTGCTTTTTCTTTTTTTTTTTCTTTTTTTTGAGAAAGGATAACAGAATTTCATTACTCAAAAGAGGGAAGGATGTACAAAAATCCTTGATAGACAAAAAACAAAGCCCACTTAAGTATATAAGGCATTGCATTTGCACTGTACAAAAAGATCCCTTCCCAAGCCAGATTTAGCAATTGAATTTTACTCTTGCAACATCATATCATATTTCAAGATAAATGATAAGAACAATTGTGCAGAAATGGCAACTGAATCTTGCTTGAGTGAAGCATGAACCTATAAATCTCATCATCACTTACTGTAAAAAAACAAACTAATTATAAACAAGATAATTTGTAAATTACCTTCTTCAGTTAAAGTTTTGGACTCTGCTGGAATAACCTCAAAAACCTCAATGGCATTGATAATAGCATTTCCTTTGGTAGGGTGTATGGTTATTGTCAAAGTTCTCCCATTGACAGCAATAGTCTTGTTCAGCACAATAGCCATATGAGCGCCCCCACTCATACGGATAATGTCAACATCTTTAAATGCAATATCACCATTTATCAAGATATCAAAAATCCTTTGCCCTACATTTGTGATGCCAACATCAATCTCTGCAAAGTGCAACCAAATTGAGTAGTTTCTGTTGGGATCCACATCCATGTTATATGATAATTCTGGCAGACTGTCAGTACTAATAAGTGCCGTCTGATATATCTCTTCTGGATAAAAGTTTGGTGACACAGAAGCTTTCTTAATTTTGCTTTCAACAGATCTAACCTTACCAGAACTCTGCTGAAAAGTTGTAGCTTTATGCCAGAATCTGTCCCCACCCCAGTGATCCCCATTGTAATCTGCATCAAATTTAGACAATGTAGAACCACAGTTCAGTCTTTTGGCTGTCCTCAATATTGTCCCCTGACCCCAGTTTGAACCAAAATAATATGCTTTGTCATCAACTTGAAGAATTTCGAATGAAAGAATAGCAGGGTCCCCATGCCCAGTGCTATGAACACAAGAAGAGAGAGAACCATCTGCAACAAATACTAGGGCTTCAGTAAATGACTGATCATCACTGGTACTCCAACCTGATCTTAAAGAATATATCTGACTTCCTTGAATAGAAACATCAAATAGAGGCTCATTCTCAAAATTAGGCTCTGCAACCAATGCAAAGAAGATTCTCACTGCATAATGCCCCTTAGGTACTCTCTTGATATTATAGCAATTCTCTGGGCCATCAGAGAGAGGGAAATAGCGAAGTGTTTTAAGTGGAGGAGCAATGTAACTTGTAGGTGATGCATTTGCTGGCCTTCCTCCTGTATAACCAAAATCCTTGTACCAAAGTGTATTGGTTGGAGCGGTGTGGACATTAAGTCGAGCCCCACAGCTTATGCGCATAGCATATGGCTCTGCAAAGAAGAAACCCATTTCAAAAACATGCATTACCAACGTCAAACAGTTCTAATAATAACTGATTTTTTTAAGTATTTTAATAATAACTGAATTTTCTAATGGAGCAGCAAGAACCATTAAACTGATTCATTTTTTCAAAACATACTTAACAACCAAGAATTATTTTGTATAGCAGTATACTAGTTTGTATTATAATTCAGTAAATTTTCTTCATCAACAAATCATTTCTTCTCATTGAGTTAAAACTAAAATTAGGAAAATAAACACAGCCTTAGATACATTCATTCCATACACCTGCTTTTTTAGGCAGATAGGATATGTTGCCACTTACTGATTCATTAACTAATAACCCAAAGTACCCATGAACTAGGACTATCCCCACACTTCCCCTGGTGGAAATATGAAAAATAGTCAAACTGGTTAAGTAGAAAACTCTAATTCCTAACAAAGTAACAAACTAAGAAGGAGCCCAGCAAAAATACTTTATGATATTTTCTGGGAATTCCAATGTGAAACAACACGGTATTACTTCTTGATAAGCCTATAATCCCAAAGCTATGCTCTAGTTCTCCCAAAATTCAGAAAAATAGAATGGGAAAATGCCCATTCCATATAGACCAAAAATAATACCCATTTAATATCTACTGCTTCATTTGAGTTTTCAGCTGTAAAATTTCAACATTTTATCAGCACTAGATCTAAGTAAGAATAAGGTTATTCGAGCTAATATATTCACCTCATTATTAAAGGGAAAAAGAGAAACTTATGAGCATACGCAGAATGAGCACCGACGCATCAAGTGAGCTGAATTCATCATCAAATTTGGTACAGAAGTCATTTCGAGGCACTAGAAAAATCATTTATCCGGGCAATGAAAGCTCACCCAGATCAACATTTAATAAAACTAAGTTTACAAAAAAGAAAAGAAAGAAAGAAAAAAACATAGAGAGGGTGAAGGAGAGAAACACTGGTTATCGTACTTACCAGGCCGGGGAGAAGAAGGATGAAGAGCCAAGAATAGGATGAGCAACAGCAATATCAGTTTGGACATCGTGGCACCGAATGCGCCTGGACAGACCTTTTTTTCTTCCCTTCAAAAGCCACCCCTGCTCTGTCTCTCTGTCTCTCTCTCTCTCTCTCTCCTTTGTAAAAGGCAAAAAGCAAAGAGAAAGGAGAGACGACAGAAAGAATGAGAGAGAAAGAGAGGAGTACCGAGTAGCGTGTTTATTAGGACGTGTAAGCAGGTATAGAGAGAAGTGGCTACTTCTGTAGCTAGTACAACAGTTATTTTCTTTCCTCTCGACTTCTCGTTGGTTGACTGGTGTAGAGCGGGATTCACCGAGTCAGTACGTGGTAAACCAGATTTCTGTCACTGCTAATACATCGGACCATTCAGATGATAGTATGTATAGGTAGACAACCACTCCAACGGTACAGATCAATTAATTAATGGGGTCCATGTACGGAAAGTGGGTAATTGTCGTTATTGCTGAGGGGGCATTGATTATCATTCGGTTGGTTTAGGAATTGGAGAAGTGGGAAAGACAAGTTGCGTTGCGGGGGATTGTCCAATTGTGATTGAAAAGCGACGCTGATACTTCCATTTCTGTAAGTGCGATATCATGGATAGAGTGTTGATCAGACGGTGGAGAATACTCGTCACTCGTCAGAGGTTTGACTCTTGACTTAGAAGTCGCTTTTTTCGTTGACGCTAGCTAGGTGGTAGGCTGGTAGCTACTTCTTCTATGTATAAAAATAAAGCGCCAGTTAGTGCGCGATCGTCGGATAAAGCGTAATCATCGGCCGCGCACTAACGGAAGCTTCCTACCCAGGCCTCGTTTGGGGGGGCTTAAGCTTTTGCTTTCGGTAAAAGCTTTTGAAGCTACTAATTAATAAGTTTGGGCTCCCTCGAAGCTTTGATTGAGTTACTTCAGTCTGGGCTCTCTATGTGCCCATTTGGGAGGGCCGAAGTGCAACGGCTTCTGGCTTTTCGAGGTAGGCTTCACACCCACACGAACAGCGTATAAGCTATGATTTGATTAAAAATTGGGGAGAGCCCCTTTTGGATAGTAATGGTGCGCAATCCGATCATTCTTATCTGGCACTTATGTGGCTCCTGAAAAGTACCTGAGATGGAGAAGAAGAAGAATCCCCGGGGGCTTGCCCGGCGGGAATACTCCGATGCTTAAGTTAGTATTCTGTAGAAGAAGCAAGAAGAAGATGAAGGCTAAGAGTGCAGATAGCGCGAGAGTAGAAGATGATACCTCTGTCCCTTGATATTAGTAGCTCCTTATAACAGAAATCCGTTGTATCAGGTCCACCGGCCTCTGACAGGGCAGGTATAACTGCCACTGTCAGTCTGTCGTAGCCGTTACTAGCTGAGCTGAGGTGGCACACGCGGGGCCGTCACTGTAGGGTACGTGCCTGTCAGGTGTAAGGCACCCTCTAAAGGTGGCAGGCACGACGCTGTCTGACGAGGGATATGGTTGTTGTCCTCAGATTTGTTGGGTACGGTGGTCGGGCAAGAGATCTTCCTGCGATACGCCGAGCTACCCTTCCGCGAGTTACCCTGTGCCGGGCTATCTCGTAAGCGGCGAGCTTCTTGTGGCAGGCTAAGCCGAGCTGCCTGGCCCGAGGTGTCTTTACCTCGGGTATCTATAGGCGGATCGGTGTGTTCCTGTCTGGGAGAAGCTTCCTGAGAAGTGCCCATGCGGCCCATTCCCGAACTACTTTGTAGCAAGCTCGAAATACTTTAGTATTACCTTTAACAGAATTGGTCCTTGGGGTGACTTGTCTGCTTGGGAGCTTGGGCGAGCTAGTTCCCTTAGCTCGCGAGCTAAAGTTGCCTCGGAATATCCCTTCAAAGGTAGCTCGGGGAACCCGGAGCTCGCGTTGTGGCGAGCTTCTCCTTTTGTGGGCTATGATGTAACGAGCTGCTTTATGGGCCCGTCACCCGGTTGCACTAGGCTACAATGCTGAGATGTTGTTCGTGCTGAGTCAGTGTCCGCATGTCACCGTTCCATAGGTCGGGTCAAATCGTCCTCCATCAATTGCCCCCCACTCCTTGAGTTGAGAGCATTGCCTTAGCGCTAGGAGTTCACAAAGCGTGATGGACTGATTTGACCGRAATTCAAACTTGATTGACTACTCACATTAAAGGCACCCGCGGGAATCAAGAGATTTCCTGACTTTTCGGATTCCCAAAACGTGCTGAAGTAACTCCTAATTTTGAGCGTCGTGCAGCCGTCATTGCCTTAATCATGGAAGACGTGCCGCCAATCACCTTCAATTTTCAGAAGGCGTGTGGTCAATGCGCCTGCGAGCCGTTGGATTCGCTTTGATCTGGGCCGTCGATTCGGAAACGTGGGGGCTATAAATAGGAGGGCCCTTTGGGCCTCATTTCCCCTCACGCCATCTTGCTATCTTCGGATCCTGAGGTCGCGCACCTGTCAAGTCTACTCGAGTTCCTCAACTTATTTCATTTCGTCCTCTTTCGGTGAGTCTTACTTATTGCCGGTCATGTCGGGATACCCACACCATGTTCGTTACCAGGGCGGTGACCAGGATGATGATGCTCCCTCGAGCTCGGGGGGAGCTTGGGAGCAGGTTTCGGGGGCCAGGGAGGTCTCCGAAGAAGGAGCTTCTACTTCGCGGGGAAGGGAGCCCGATACTTTTGGCCCTTCCTCCATGACAGAGGGGAGACTTAGGTCTCTGATTAGCTATTTCCACCTCCCTAGGGACCTTCTCTACTGCATCCCCACTGTTAATTTTCCTTGGGAGCATGGCCCCAACGATATAGTCATTTACCAGGAGTAGCTCAAGGCTGGCCTGCGTCTCCCCCTGCACCCCTTGATAGTGGAGGTGCTAAACCACTTCAATGTCACTATTAACCAGCTCCATCCCAATGCCATCAGGAACTTGGTTGGGACGATATCCTTGTGTTGGGAATACCGTCTTCCCTTGAGTCTAGACATCTTCTCTGCTATCCTCAGTATAAAGGATGCCACTCCCGGGGCCCCGTCGGAGAGGCGTTTCTACTACTTCTCTCCCCGCTGTGGCTACAAGCTCTTGCACGAGCTCCCGAAGAAAATCCCCGCCTGGAAGCGGGATTATTTTTTGGTTTGCAACCCCGAAGGGTGGCCCTTCCCTACTTCTTGGAGGGGCGCTATCCAAGACTCCGGGGCCGAGCTGGACCCCGAAACTCAGAAAACAATGCTGTCCTGTGCATCAGTAGGCTTCCTCTGCTCGGACTACTTGGCCGAGGAGAAGCTCGCGCAGGCCGGCCTGAGCCCGAGTAGGTTGTCCTTTTAGGTCGCGCGGTTTTTGTCACGACATTGTGTTCATATGCATACATATATCTCGTTCTTACCGAACTGATACTGTTATTTCTTCTTGGCAGCCATCATGTCTGGTATCGACTCACGCCGCCTCCTTTCAAGCAACCAGGGGCGCAAGGTGAAGAGGTCGCGCCCCGACCGAACTCCCACCTCGGGGGGTGCTGAGTTCGATTCTGCCGAGCCAGCTTTATCCTCCCCTCCGCCTGAGATCCCGCCACCTCCATCCGAGGGAACTAGTGGGGCTGGTCTCAGAGGGGGCGAGCTCCCACAGTAGGGGGCTACTCCCCGTAACCCTTTCCAGCCATCCCCTTACCCTCTGTTCCTAGTGGGGAACTGGGAAGGGGTGAACGACTACGTCGTGGCTCGCCGGAGGAGCTAGAAGGCGATTAACAACGACGAGGTCGCCCATTGGGGGAATATGGAGCCCGGGGACCTCGTCTCATTTGCCTCCTCCCACTGCATGGTGGTAAGTGATTCTTTCCCTTCTTCTCTCATTTCGCTTCCTTTTGTTGTCCTCTGATCTTCTTTCTGTTGGCAGGTGAATACCGTCATCCATGCTATGGCTCTCCAGACACGCATCCACCACGTCGACGCCCTCGACCAGCGGGCTACTAATAAGAAGCTCCAGGGTGAGCTCGACCGGATTCGGGGCGAGCTCCATCACACACGCAAGGGGAGTGAATCTCAGGAGCTGCTCATCCGCGACCAGGAGG